AGAGTCTATATAGAATCTTTGGTAACTGATACATGAACTGTGCGTCCATATACACCAGCGAGTCAAAAGCGCCCTTCACCGATAACCCTTTCCTGAAATAAGTCTCTCTATTCACTAAATAGGCAGTGACCAGCCTAAGATGTTTGTTTCTCCACTTCTCCATCGGGGAAATTGTACGACGCAATTCCTATTTCTTTTAAACTTTGATTTCCTGCTCTGCGGTTTTCTTGAGAAGTTACAGCTGCGCATTGTCATCTTAGAGTAAAGCAATTTTCCTCCTTTTTTCCTCCTTCACGAGCATGGAATACTGAGGGGAAAACATCGCTGAGATAAATAAAGAATTGACCAGCTATTTTGAAGATTAGAGCTGCCTCTATCGCTTTGTTCTCCTCTACTATCGCAGCACTGCACACTTTTGACGCTTACTTTTCAAGATCGGTATCTTCAGGTTTCGTTGATTCTTTTCTGCAACTGTGATCCTAATAAGGAAAGGAAGGCTATTGGTAGTATTACCTTTTAAATTTTGTCCCAAATTTATTTCTTAGAAACTGCACTACCGCTGCTGCTTTCCTTCGCTGTAGTTTTGAGGGAGGTTGACGATATTTCTTATACCTCAGCTTGCGCGAGGAAGGTTATCGAAGCGCTATAGTGCCAGTTTGACTCTTTATGGGTCTTTTTTGACGGCGTTTTATGTCCTTTTAATGAGCATCTCTTTTTCGTCTCAAAGATTTGCAAGTAACTTTCCAAGATTCTCTCAAGTCTGCCCATTTTCTTGAAATAAATAGCCACCTGATTTGGGAGATGATACCTGAACTCCTTTTGATCATTTCGTTTTTCTTCAGTTTGCATCGCTTGTGTTTCGGCAACAAAGAATCTGTTGGTCATGATATATCAGTAGCGTCTTTTTTAACTGAAGCAATCAGTCGTAAACTGAGAACGCACAAGGCTTCAGCTGCGACTTTTACCAGCCTTTCCGTTGTAAGCAATATCTTTTTAATGGTTTTCATTCTTCATTCCGTTGATGATCCATTGCTAGGATGCTGTGAAGCGATAAAAGTTCACTTCACAATGAGTTTCTCAGCCATTGCTTGAACTTTTTTACATTTTTCAATGTCACCGATTAAGACTCTCCTCTCTTTGCTGTAAGTCTTTCACAAGTATTGAAAAAAAGCTCGCTCAAAAAGTTTTAAAATGATTTTAAAAAGCTTCAATTTGATTCTCTTGAAAAGCTTTAATATGATTTTTTCAAAATATTTATTTGAAATATATACGGTTTATCTATTTCTTCGTTTGATGTTCTGAAAGGTCTTGAATAGTCGTGAGCTGGAATGCCCTTGAGTATTACGAGTTCTTAGAGCGAGTAAAGTCATCTCATGGAATTTGAACGGGCAGGCATCTGTTTTTCAACATTGCGTACAGTGGCTTTTCAAAAATTTCTTGCACAACTACATCTTGTACTCTTGGATTTTTAAGATCTTGTTCTTCACAAGTCATGGCAGGTTGTCGCCCAATTTTTAGTTACCTACTGGAGTAATATTCACTTCAAGTCTGATCATGCTAAACAACGCGAAAGTGGGATACTGAGTCTTTCCTGAATAAAGTAAGAGTTTAAGCTTCAATTTTGCATTCATTAATTTCACCTTGTCAATCGTTATGAGCTTAAATGACATGAGACGTGTTTAAAGTGAACAAAGTCTGTCTTGAACCAGTTGCCTTCAATTCTTCTCGCCTATAATACAGTAGCGTAACCCAATACGTAATAAACGTGCAAGAATAATGCGTTTGCGCTTGTTTCGCTCTTCTAAGAAAGTCAATAATTTGAACTTTTTGCATTGTCACCAACTGTTGACGTTCGCAAAAGACTGATAACAGGAACCCAGCGTCTAATTCGATCCTGCAACTTGGAGTATCTGACACGGTATTTTCTAGGGTAGCATCACTGAGCAATCAACCTTAACAAGTCATGCTGCGCTAGAATGAAGCAAGGTATTGCTTTTTTGGTCAAGATTTGGCTTTCATTCCTTTGATGTGGACTTGGGATAAATTGTTGACTGGATTTCGTTCCAGTGCCAGCACTGATAAGTCAGATTTATTGCGGCGTTCGTCGTCTGGCAGGTTTTAAATTGTCCCTTAATATCTTTTAAAAAATTTTCCCCATTTTGTAGAAGCAATATCGATAAGTGTTATTGGGAACTGTTTCACCTCTCTTTACATCTTCTTTATCGACGTTGAATCAAAAGTTTTATTATTGTCAACATAAGGGTTTTGAAAAGCCAAAAATGTTGGCCAGGGTTTTTCCAGATTGTTGAGGGATTCCGTGCTCGTGAATAAGTTTCTTTTCTGCGTCGATTGAATATTAATAGTTTGCCCCGATAGTCTATCAACCACAGTTTTTTTGACAGTTTGAAGAAAGTTGAATACAGGTAATTGGGGCTCTGGCGCTTTGCATTACAAACTTGCTGTAAGGCCTCCAGTAGCGGCATTACTACAATTGCTATTAAAGCATTTGGGTTTCGACGTTTTACTCAGGGTCAGAGGAATGGAAAAAATTCATTTATATCAAAAGACATAATAGATCAAAACAAACTTCCCAAAATAAAGCTATTTCTGAATTGCAGAATACAAATTTTTTTGGGTATTTTAAAAACAAATATAACACGGGCAGCATTAAAACCGATTCAACATTTCTGAATTTCAGATTATTTGCTTCACTATAATCTTCAAGTCTTGGTTTCTTCCTATTAAACTGTTTTATAGAGAAATTCAGCAAGTGAGAAAATAGCTATTACTTTCCTCCTACCTTTCATTATTTGGTTGAATTAAAGAGCCTGAAAATTGGGATTGTCTTAAAAGTGAAATCCTGCTTGATGAAAAAAAAAGTCAGCCGAACTTTGGATTGTAGAAGACCTTTTAAAAACTGTATTTAATTTTCCCATTCCAAATCACTATTAACAGTCCATAAAGGCAGCAGTTCCAATTTGCGCACTAATTTTTTAAACCGACTGGAATTTTTTTTTATAATAACTGCGAAATGTGATTGTCAATTTTAGCCTTTTCTTTTTCAATTTGCCCAGGACCGATTCCCAACTTGCTTCAAGAAAATAATTTAAATGAGAGCATGCAAATAACTGCAAATTTAAAAATGAGCTTAATTATTTATCAGATGATGACTCAAAAACAAAGAACAAGGTTTTTTAGCAAAATTTTACTTTGCTCGTCGGGAACAAAGGAAAAAGACTATTGCAGGGGAAGAGGAGGTGATCGCTAGATGAAATGTTCAAAAACTTGGAATAATAAACAACAGTAGCGATGTATAGCAGGTGTCGGAGTTGGACCTCATGCAGGTCATGCAGTTATCTTCTTGAGTTGAAGTGCAAGATTTCATCCATTGTTTACAAATATTTCCAGCTTCAGCTTTTGCTTTTTCTTCTCCTTTTACTTTTACTTTCTCAAGTAAAGATGCGTCGCCTGAAGTAATTACAGTGCGGTAATTTCATTCACTTTTTATGCTGTATTTATGGAAATCTTGTATTAATATTGTTTAATTGAAACACATAGCATATTACAGTAAGCGCTAAACAGAATATTTCTTTAACTTTTTGTAATGTTGTCTTTTCCTTAAATTTTGCAAAACTATTGCTATTTATTAAATATCTCACTTCAAAATCACTTCGATTTATTATAAAAAAATATAATGGAGAATCTTATTGCAAATAATTTAAATTCACTCCAGTTACTTTTAGGTACTAATAAATTTGGTTGTGCTCAAAAAAAAAGTTTTCTATTGATTGCAAAATGACCTTGTGAAAAGTACAGTGATACTAAGTATTACCGCTTTCTTGAAATGGAGATTCTCAAACCATTTTGTACATTTACCCGACAATTCAGCAAAATTACACTAGACTTGGCGACAATAATATTATATACTATGGCGATTTGCGGTCTCCGGCGTTTCGCAAGCAATTGGGCTGTAAAATGTTTTCTTCATAATTCTCAGACACGTACAGATCCTGCAACGAAAAAAAGAAGCGCTAAAATTTGTAATTTGAATGCCATAAAACAAATTTATTTTCATATTTTGATCTTGCTGCGAATGCTTTGTAGAATTTTTCTTTTGTCCAGAAGATTTTGGCAACTGTATCCTCAGAATGCTCGTTGCGGGGTTGACGGTTCTAACAGTTGACTTCATTTCGTCTCCTGTGACGTAAATACTGTCAAAGTTCGTCGTCTTTGCTGACGAATTTGTTTCAGAACCCTTTAGCAAAAATAAACGCATTTTATTTCTGCTTTTTCAAAGTCAATACACATTGTTATTGAGAATAACTGCAGTAAAGCAGTATACATGCGACTTTTTGAACAATTAGCAATGAAAGTGCTTTACTCATCTTTACGCCTCTCAATATTATTATTACAAAGGTTTATGTATAAAAAATTGTTTAGTAATCTTCACTTTGATAGTCTAGTTTGTTGACTGGTTTTTCTAAATACGTTTTATTCTGGTGTTATTAGTCGTATTAAACTGTAGGGGAGGTTATAGAATTGAATGAACCATTTCAGATTTTATTTTATAGATATCACTGAGCTGCTGGCGAGTGTGATGTTAGTTACCGAGAAAGATGAACTGTTCATGTGCTTTAGAGAATTTGAAAGTGTTTTCGCTGAGATACATGAAGATTGGATTAGTGCTTGGTGGTTAAATTTGATACGTTTTATTTTTTAGGTTTTTTAATTGAAAAAAGTCTGTATAACTGTGCTTAAACTGTTTGCTTGTAAAGTTTTTTTCTTCTTGAAAACTTCGAAATATTGTTTTTTTAATTTTGGTTTGTCACTGTTCTAGTCAGGAAAGCAATTATACCGAATACGAACAGTTCGTTTCTCAAGTACAGTTATCCTTACTAAATGTGCCAGGGTTTCCTCAGCAGTTGTCGGAACGTATGTACTAAAATTTACGAGTTTTTTTCTCTGAAAATTTATATTTATATAAATACACTTCAGAATGTATGGTTCTGTTTACCGTATTCTATCTTTTGCTAACGTTTTATTTTACTACCTTTTTTTCTTTCAATTCATGTTCGTTTGCAGTTTGCGCTGTAATTTTACGTTACGAACAGAAGGCTAAGAATACGGAAGAAATATGGGATGAATTAGGGATGAAAGGCATGAAAATTGGGAAATTCATTTTGTTTTTATGGACGTTGTTGGAAAGGGCATTGAGTGGTAAAGTGTATGTTAATTTTTGCTGAAACGTGCTTACTTTGCATTTTGAACCTGAGTAATGGTTCATTTTCTAGTCACTTCTCGGATTAGGAAGTTGTTATCACTTTCAGAGACGTTGGAGAGAAAATTACTGGTTTAATAGCGGCGTCTACTTATATAGCCATCTGTAGTCTAAATGGTTCACAAGCCTACTGTGTCTTCAACCAGTTTCTTTTTCAAGTGGGTTTCTGTTTCTAATAAATTAAGTTTCAAATTGACTTGTGAGAAGGTAATTGTTTTTTAAAATGTTTTGTTGTAGATTTCTGTACATTAAAATGTATTTGTTGCTACATATTTTTCTGCAGGAATAAGCTTTTTAACGCTGCTTTGTAGTTACCTGCAATTTCGCTTTTGTCTGCTGTTAAAGAAGAACTATTTCAGAAATCTTTGGAAATCTTGAGGGTAGCTTATAGACTGCTAACTTTAAGCGGTTTTTCTGGGACGGCGAATCGTGCTAGTGGAAATAGGCAGCAGAAAGGTGGAAGGAGAAAAAAACAAACAAAGAGTATTGCCCAGGATGAGACAGGCGAATCAACAAGTTTGTCTTGCGTTATTTTTTTTTTTTTGTTTGTAAGGTGAAGGAGCTGGGAATAGTTAATTTTGTTAGTTCATTCGGTTGTTTTAGTAGTTGAAAATCTTACTCCCAGTGACGAAGTTGAAGTAAAGGAACTTCTCTTTGGTGGATTGGACTCGCTTTTTGTATTTCTAAACAAAGGTAAGGTTTTAGTGGCAATTACTGTGTAGTAATGTTTCCCGGTTTTACGATTCAATCATATACTTATCACTAAGAAGACGTTCACGTTAAGAAAAGAATTAGATTAGTTATTTAGCGGTTCTTCAGCATCTGTTTCTTCTTATGGTACATTGGTTTGTGAAGTCTCTTTAAGAAGTATGCGAATCAGTCTTCGCGTCCATCAGTGACAAAATAAATAACGCTCCAATTGTTTAATTGCTTGAAATGTTTTTGAAAGCAGATAGTGAAGAGTTCTAGGATTGTGACAGTTTTAATTTTTGCAGTCTCTTTATCTGCCTTTCGTGATACTGCGATATGTACAGCAAATCTTGTGAGAGATGTAATGCAAATTGATCTTAACGAAAATACTAACGTTATTGAGTGCAGGCGGTATTCAGATTTCCAAGTACGCGTATTTTTTCATATACAGCTAGATTAAAAGTGTTTTAGTTTCTTGATTTTTCATTTGGCCGTTTCGCGGCAAATGATTGCTTTCTTAATTTTGTGGCTTTGAACTGTCATGAGTTGTTAAACAAAACAGTCTTTATTTTAATTTATTGTAGTTTGTTTCGTCCTTTGTTAAACTTTTGAGATGAAGTTCTTGGATTTTTCTGATGTTACTCTCATTAAGAACGTTATCTGTCGTTTTAGGAGAAAAAACATTTTTCTGATCGGTGTTTCTCTTTAATGCATCGTCTAGTAGCTTCAAGACATTCTGGGACAAAACTTGTTTTTTCTCGGATAGTAATGCCCCGTTTGCTATTTTGGACCTTTGAAAACACCGTTCTGCCGGCCCAGTCTCATCCAACAAAAAAAATGGAACTGGGAAAAAACCTTATGTTAAATTTCCTAAAATTACGTGTTGAGGTTAGTATAAGTGATAACTTATTTTCTTTACCAAACATGTAAAACTTATTTATTAAATGACTATGAGTTTAAAAATGACACAAAGGATCTTATTTTCTGGAATTGAGTTCCAGAAACAGCTTTCGGAGGAGCTTGATGCTGTGTTCGATCTTCTTGAGAATATTTGTTATCGCTGTCCCGATCGTAGTGATTATCGTGTCAGGGTGGCAGATTGTGTCTTTAGAGTTGTTGGAATGCTTCCTGAACAATATCGCTTTGTGAGTAATATTTTGATATTTGTCTGTCTTTTTTTCTTGATCGACCTCTTAAAGGTATTTTTTATGGTTATTCCGGAGAATTTGAAAAAGAATTTTTGTTTTTAGTTTACTGTGAACTTTCTTTCAGAGATTTGCTCACTTTTTGACAGTTTTTGGCTCAAACTCTCGTACTTCGTGTAGGAATTTTGCTATCGAAGTCATTCCGTTTATCGTCCGCCTGTTAGGTAAAATTTTACCGAGTGATACGAAGTAAATTAACTGTAATGGATAGTTTACAGGTACTTCAAATCTGAGCATGATGGTGGAACTGCAATCAGGGGAAAACGCTCTTGATGGTAAAGAGTGCCCGAACGAAGAAGTGGCTGATGAGTTAAGTCGTTCCCAGGATGAAACTGTTCGAGAAAACAAAGAAAATACTGCACCTGACTCTACTGCGGTTCCCTCAACCAGTAGAGCATTGTTCAAGCCTGTGGAAGGCTTGTTGTCTGTAATTGTCCAAGCCTGTGATGACAAAGCTCCTACAGTGAGGGCGCGTGCCATATTTCAGCTTACTGAATTTTTAGGAGACCCGCTGCTGAGGAGTTCATTACCGCATTACTTCGATAAAATGGTTCTTTATACTTAAACTTTTTATTGATTTCTGTACTTCTTTATGCGTTGTGTTGTATCTGGTATGTTCAGAAAGTAATTGCAGGCTGAGACGGAGGGTAGTGTTGCAGAGTTGCCCTGTAAAAATCAGTTTCGTGGTGAAGTTGAAGTTGCTAATCCAGTTCTTCGAAGTTTGCTGAGTAGAGCTCAAGATCCTAAAGTACATTACTGCTTTGCTTCATTATCTTATGGGAGCAAGAATTTCGCAATAGGCTAGAGACGGAAACCATCAATAAGCTATTACTATAGTTTGAGAGATAGACAGTTTAAATCTCACTGTGACAGTTATTAATTGTTTAGTTCTCAGTATAAGAAGTTTTTAAAGTCATTTTTCAAAGCTGTTTAGGCTTCTGCGCGAAAAGCAGCGATACAGGCCCTTGAAGTCTTCTTTCCTTATTTGGAAAAGGAGTCCGATATTGAAGCTGCTTTAGACTGCTTTCAGGTTTGCTTTCTTATAAACTTGTTCCATTATAGGCGTGTTGTTACTGTCGAGTCATTTTAGTTAAATTTTCTGGATTTGACTTAGCTACATTTTTTGCAGGTAAAACACGTCACGATACTCGGAACTTTTTTTCTTTTTCAGAAACGGTGTAGAGATGAATCGCTTTTGATACGTAAACAGTCTGCGGAATCGATCAGTAAGATTTTGTTACTGAATTCCAGTCGCTGTACAGATGCGTTAGATCGGTCTTGGTTACTTTCTGTTTTGCCACTGATTACAGATCGGGAAGAAAGTGTTGCAAAAAGAGCAGCAGAATTAATAACTGTATGTGTAAAAGTATTTGTCGTTAAATTTTATGAGTTATTGTAATAAGACTGTCTGTTAATTGTTTGTTTTCCACGTAATTCTTACCCTGTTCCTCTTTAAGGAAACTTTGATAATGCCGTTACTGAGCAACAATCCTGAAAATGCTTGGAGAATTTTATCCTGTATAGAGCGAGAAGTCAACTACAGGTTTCTTGTAAAACTTGTCCCATCTCGCACGCGATTTTTCTTTCATAAAAATGGTTGTTGGAAAAGTT